TGATAGATAGATAGATAGATAGATAGATAGATAGATAGATAGATAGATAGATAGATAGATAGATAGATAGATAGATAGATAGATATTCACCAAACATAGATTAGCTGAACACAAGAATAGAATCAGAAGAAACAGACGTAACACGTAACATTCACATACTACACAAACATACGTTTTATGTAACTTTCACATACTAAGACAGACGTAACATTTAACACTCTCTTACTGCACAAACAGAAGTAACATGTAATATTCAGATACTAAGACAGAATGAACAGAAACCGGAATGGCAAGTAACATCAAAATACCAAGTAAACATAGGTAACAAGGAACCTTCAAATTCTACACACACAAACGCAAACCAGCTCCTCATGGAGACAATTAGCAGGAAGACCCTGGAGTGGACGCTGGAAAGGAGAGATGAGCAGCTATGAACATGTGCCGCCTGCTATGATTCTAGCTCTTGATATCCAAGTAAATCCAAGTAACTCACAAACGTAACATGCAACATTTACGTACTGCACACAACATACTACGAGAAACTGTACAATGACACACTAATCGAATCCGCTTACCCCATGAGGCGCCCTTTCTTGTTCCCGAAAGCGATACAGGAAGTCCATTTCTTGATTTTGTGAGCCTGCCCAAATTTGGAGTCTAGTCTTCCATCCTCCTGGAAGTTTCGACAACTCTGCGAAGCCACAATGTCCTTTAGATACGTCGTTCTTTTATCCCTTCTCTTCATGATGGTGGCAACAGAACTCCGATTGTTAGGAAGCGTTGTTGGTTTTTTCTGGTTTCGTTTTGTCTTTTTTGTTGCGTTTTCTCGTCCTGTTTCGACTCTCTATAGGTTTTTGGTAGCACCAAAGACGCGTGTAAAAGTATTATCCAAGAATGTGAACTCTGAGGTCATTCTGGTTCAACATGGAGTGCATCATTTGATTATTTTAATCCAGAAGAAGGGTAATTTAGTTTTAGTTTTAGTAGAGGTTTTACGGCGCTCGCAACTGCTTAAGGCCATATGAGCGCCAGAAGAATAGAGAGGTCACAAGAGAGTAACAAACATAAAAAAAGAAGAAGAGGAGATAAGGACGATAGATGTGTGATAGAAAAGAAGAAGCAAACCACACCAGAGCACCCGCCAACCACCCACAAGAAGGGTAAGGAGGGAGACGTTTCGCGCGAACTCGATTTAAGCTAGACTGATGTTTTGCCCTCTGTTTTCGCGTCTAAGATGCGCACTACCGCCAGGAAGGTTTTATAGAGAACAGAGATCGGCGGCCATGACTTTGTCCAGTCAAGGATGTATTATTCAAGTCTATGGGCAGCACACAGGCTTGGTAATAAAACGCAAGTCGAAACGAAGCGCAAAAAACAGCATGTAGCAAGCGCCCACCCTCACCCCCACTCTCACTCCCCCACTCTCACTCCCTCACTCTCACTCCCTCCCCCACTCTCACTCCCTCACTCTCACTCCCTCACTCTCACTCCCTCACTCTCACTCCCTCCCTCATTCTCACTCCCTCCCTCATTCTCACTCCCTCACTCTCACTCCCCCACCTCCTCAACCCCCACCCCCACTCCCCCACCCGCTGAGAAAGCATCCATGAAAGCCAATACGTCACAGACATACCGCTACCCTAAAACGACAAAGTTCTATCTGCTCAGTACATAGTTTTGAGAAATGTTTGACGTTACACATTTTTAGATTCACAGCATATCAAGGTTTGTCGAATACAATTCTTTGCATATCTTGTTAAAAACTCCGAATAATCTTACGATTTTGATAGAGCCGATGGAACATTTTGGGTTCGGACCTCGTGGTCGAAGTAACTCAAAACGGCCAAAAATATAATGTAGAACTTTGTAAATCTGAGGTAATGAATTATACAACGTATAAGTCTGGCACCTTACGACCTCACACGTCCAATTCCAGACCTCACAGACGGAGGACGTACATACATTTACAACACCATACGTCACACACAGACTCACACACAGACTGAGGACGTACATTCATGTACAGCACCATACGTCATAGTTGTTTCCGGCACTATATGTCCCACACGCACACGCGCGCGCGCGCGCGCACACACACACACACACACACACACACACACACACACACACACACACACAC